CTCAAAAAGGTGCTCTTGATAAATTTTTGGAAAACAATGATAAAATTAAATCAAAAAAGGTAGGGGAATGCTCTTTAGAAGAACAAGTTACAAACTTAGTTGAAGTTGAGTTAGATAATGATATAAACCAAAAAGAAGAAGAAGGAGAGGAAATTAGTGAAAAGTTGGATGTAGATTCCCAAGAAAATCAAGAACTTATAAATGAATTAAATAATCATACTCCTAAAAATATTTATGATCCTAGTCAATGGAATATTGTTGATACAAAGTTAAGAGACTTTTTAGTAGAAAAGGGACCAATTAGAATTACCGACACATGTTTTCCAAAGGATAAATTTTTAAGGCACTTTTCTACTACATATTATTTTCAAAAGTTGGCAAATGGAGAAAGACATGAAAGAAGATGGTTAGTTTATTCCAAAGATTTGAATAAGGTATTTTGTTTTTGTTGTAAGTTATTTAATACAACCTTTAATGCAAAGAATAATAAGTTAGCTAATGAAGGTAGTAGAGATTGGAAAAATCTTACTACTAAGCTTAGAACCCATGAAACAACTAGCCAACATATTATTAATATGAGTTCATGGATTGATTTAGAATTTAGATTGCGTAATAATAAAACAATCGATAAAAACATTCAAGACCAAATTAATAGAGATAGAGAACATTGGAAAAATGTATTGTCAAGAATTATTTCCGTCATAAAAACTCTTGGAAGAAATAATTTGGCATTTAGGGGGAAAAATGAAAAAATCTATCAAGAAAATAACGGAAATTTCTTGAGTCTTATTGAAATGATTGCAGAATTTGATCCAATTATGCAAGAACATATTCGACGAATCAAACATGATGAAATTCATAATCATTATCTTGGACATAATATACAAAATGAATTAATAAATTATTGGCAAGTGAAATTAAGAACAAGATTATGCATATTGATGTCGCTATAGATCAATTAAGAGGTTTAGTTTCTTTTTTTAAAACATATAGAGAAGAAGGATTTACAAGTGCTGTGATTTCGGCTAAGAAAATTGCATTAGAGATGAATATTGAACCTGTATTTCGTAAGAAACGTGTAATTTATAGAAAAAAAACAATTTGATGAGAATGTTGATAATGAAATCACAAGATCTCTTGAAGAATCATTTAGAATTGATTACTTCTTATACATAGTAGACCAAGCCATCTTTTCACTTCAAAATAGATTTGAACAATTTGAAGTATATGAAAATATTTTTGGTTTTCTATTTAGTGGAAAAAAATTGAGATCATTAGATGATGAGAATTTTAAAAAATATTGTCTTAATCTTGAATGTTCCTTAAAACATAATACTCACTCCGATATTGACGGTTTAGACTTATTTTCTGAATTAAAAGTGTTAAGGAAAATCATAAAAGTAGAAGACAATACTCTAATTGAGATACTCAATCAAATAAAAAGACTTGATTCTTTTCCAAATGCTTACATTGCTTATAGAATAATGTTAACAATTCCCGTAACAGTCGCCTCAGCCGAAAGAAGTTTTTCAAAATTAAAAATAATAAAATCTTATTTAAGATCGACAATGTCTCAAGAAAGATTAAGTGGTTTGGCTATATTATCGATTGAAAAGGAATTATTATAAGAGATTGACTACACAAAAATTATTAACAACTTTGCATCTCAAAAAGCTAGAAAAATAGATTTAAGGCCTCTAGTTTGATTTTGGCCTTAGGCCACCAATGGGTTTGAGCCACCCTGTTCATGTACTCTAAATATTTTGTCACTCTATGAAAATTTTCATATAATCGAGTAGATAAGTACACATCAAAAATTACTAATGACATCATGACTTCTTATAAATATACAGTTTATTATATATTATGTGAATCAATTCTTTTATTTTCCATTGCAAAGTATAATCTCCGATGTAATGTTATATAATCAGCTTAATTTTTTTTCTTAAGATAATTTCTATGTTTTTCTTCTTTTTATCGGCAATGTTAAGCGGAAATTAAAGTTTGAAAATATCTTTCTAGCAGTTTTCTGAATAGACAACATTAAGATCGTAACTTGATTTGTAATTGCTTTTTATACATTTTTTATTGAAAAATAGTCAATTAAGGACATCAATTATTTTTAAAATATATTCAATTTCGCGCGAAGCACGAATAAATACACTAATATCTAATAAATCAGAAGTATTAAATGGCATCATATGCACATAATATGTTTAACTTATTAAAAGTACCAAGGAAAACGAAACGCAAAAAGCAAAAGATAATTCCGGAATTCTCTCTCTAGAGTATGGCCAATTCTTCCCCAAATTACCCAGAACTACCATCCCCAAGACCCCCTAACCCGCCGGAGCCACCGGATAATGCAGGTCACATGATAGAAGATGAACAATGACCATACACCTTCAAAGAAGTGCTGACTGACAAGCAAAATGCTCTGAATCAGACCTACGAAATGCCCAAAAAACAAGCAGTCGTAGAAGAGGCAACCCACTCTCAAAATAATAAAAGTGTCCTAACTGAAGAGGAAAAGAGCAAACTATACCAACCATGGTGTTTGTTCGTCATCATTAAAGTGTTTGGGGAAAGGCTAACACATGCCTACCTGATTTCACGTATCAGGACACTTCATCCAATTCTAAGTGTCAACAATCGTTAATCAGTAATATAACCCAACTAAGTGAGTTGGGGTCGAATCCCACAGGGAGTGGTACGTGTTTGACAATCAATAGACACGTATGAATATGTTTAAGTCAATCATAGGAATAAATATTTACGAATAAAAACATATTCCAAATTAAGGGTGACACAAGTGTCAAATAAGAGGGGGGATTTGATTGTAATTATCAACTACAACAACAAATAACACGAAAGTAATAATATTGAGACGGGTTGTTGGAATGTGATTTGATTATGGACTAATTTGGACAAATGGGTAATTGCAATTGTTAGTAAATAGTTGTAAATTAGTGAATAAGCTAAACTTTAATGGAGATAAACTTTCTCTCAAACAATCTATCTCAAACAATCTATCTCAAATCAAGTTGGTTTCTCTCGAACACCAACAAGCAGTCAATTAAAGCATCAGTGCCCGAAGTCACCTCAGAAGGACCAGCTCCACTGGACCCACCCATGGTGGTGTCTCTCAAAGAGGCCTGGCGTGCAGTCTCAAACATAGCATCCTCCAGGTTAGTCAAATCATCATACACCTCAGCATCTCTCAGATCTATCTGCTCCTCGTCGGTCTCTACATCTGACTCATCAGATGTTGTGCCATCCCTATGTACATCTCCGGTGGTAGCCGGAGGAATAGTTGTCCTTTATGAACGGTTGTGTCTTTTCTAAAGGGTCGTGACCATTTCGAAAGGTTGTGCCTTTTCAAAGGGTTGTGACCTTTCTGAGAGATTGTCCCTTTTCAAAAGGAATGTGATCTCTCTGATAAGGCATAATTAACACATTTCCATACTATCCTTTGTTAGCTATAAATAAAGGCATTTTCTCTTATTATTCTGCATCAAAAATTTCTTTCTTTTTGCATACATTTTCTTATGAACAAAATAGAGTTTGCGTGTGATCTTGTTTCTGACTTTTGAGTTTGTCGAAGTTATTGAAGTTTGAGGTACCACTGATTCTTTAATAATTTATCTGTTTTATTTTGGGAGGAAATAATCCACAACCTCCAGTTATACAGTGAGGAGTCAAATTCCTTAAGGACATATTGTGAGTTTTGTGCACTCTGTTAGTTCTTTTTTTTTCATTATTAGTGTTTCTGATTTACTAATCTGAATAAAGGAGTTAACAGTATTCACCTCCTAATTCTTCCCTATTTTAAAATAAAAAAATATAATAAAAAAATAAATAAATAAATAAATATATATATATATATAATGACCACTGAAAATTATATAAAGGATTCCTCCTTACGTACTTTTTTTAGAAGACCAATTGTTACTTTAGGTGGTGGTAATATAACACGACAACAACAACAATAAATATGCATATTAACAAAGAGTCCTAAAGTCTTTATCAGAACTAGTTAATTGTCATTGTAAACAATGTTGCTATAGGTTTAATTAACATTTATAAGTATAATGTAATTGCCTCTAAAAGAACATCTTCCGCGACAATTAAACTATTATCGTTAATTAATTATTGCTAAAAATTAGTTTTTTAGTGTAGTGTAATACTCCCTCTGTCCCAATTTATGTATACATTTCACTTTTCGAGGGTCAAACAATTTAAGTTTGACCGAGAATTTGTTCATGGAATCTTCAAATTATTTAAAATGAGATTTCTATATTTGTAAACTACATAAAAAGTACTATAAGTCTCAATAATTGATAATTCCAAATATTTAAAAGATATATGAAAAATTTACGGTCAAAGATAGACTTGTTTGAATCTTCAAATCCGAAATGTGTTACATAAATTGGGACTGAGGGAGTACTAGGTATTGTTGTGAATCTTTTTTATAAACAAATGTATTATTAGTCAATGATGCCTAATAGCTAGTTTTAATGTAAATGGTCGTATTATATTGGACCCTCGTTTTTTTTTTCTTTTAAGCTTACAAGATATAATGTGTTGGGCATTACATGAATAGGAATTGAGGTGATAAGATTATATATCACTTTCTTAGTTTCTTTCATATATTAACTTTTTGGAATCTAATATAACTATAGTGGTTGTTGTCTAATTAATCATCTGTCACTGAGGAAATTAAGTAAATGACTGAATGAATGTTTTAGAAATTACTTTACTTCATTAAAAGAAAAATTTAACCCATTTTTTAAGGAAGGTGGTGTAGCGTGATTTAACGGGCATTTAGTGCTAATTATAATTTACAACACTAGATGAAACGAAAAGAAAGCAGTTGAAAAACGTAATAACCACAAATATTCATGTTTGCACGGATCGCTCCTCAAGTAGCTGAAGGAAGGAACATTTTTAATTTGTATGCAGATATTAGCAAATAGACATTACAGTTGTGAGAATCCAAGATGTTAGATGGAATTATGAAGAAATTGCACGAAGATGTGGTGATTCACATTCTTTTAGAGTTGCCAGTGAAATCTCTGATGCGATTCAAGAGCATTTCTAAAATTTTGTACACTCTCATACATTGCTCCATTTTCATCAATCTTCATCGCAACCGCAGAAGAAACACAAAAGATGAATTGCTTATCTTAAAGCGACCCATCTTTCTAGATGAAAACCTATATAAAAATATATTGTATTTTCTTTCCAGTAACGATAACGATGATAATGATGATACCCTAAAGCACGTTTCTCCAGAAATAGATGTACCATATTTTGACACTGATTTTTGTGTTCAATTTCAACAGCTCCTTGGTTCTTCTCATGGTTTGATTGCTTTGACAGATTTTGAAGACATCATTTTTCTAAATCCTACTACTAGAAAATATAGACTTCTCCCACACAGCCCTTTTAGGTGTCCAAAAGATTTCGTTTATGTCACCAGAGGTCTTGGTTTTGGATATGACTCAATCGAAAAAGATTACAAGGTAGTCAGGTTTTATGAACTGTCTTCGGAACCTTATGATAGGGATTTTGAAGCGAGACATAGCAGAGTTGAGGTTTATGATTTTTGCACAGATACTTGGAGGTGGGTCATTCCTACAGTAAAGTTGTTGCCCAGGGTGCATCGCTATGTTAGTTCCGAAGCCTTTTTTAGTGGAGCCTGTCATTGGACTGCACAGGATGATGATGCAGTGCCCATCGTTCTCTGCTTTCACTTAACCACCGAATCTTTTCGCAACATAAAATTGCCTGATACTTGTTATTTCTATGACAATAAAGGTTATGGGCTCACAGTTTGTCAAAACTCTCTAACCTTAATTTGTTACCCACATCCAAAATGCCATATTGAACCAGGACAAGAGTTCACAGATATTTGGTTCATAAAGGAGTATGGTGAAGATGAGACATGGATTAAGAAATATACAATCAGACCTCTTCCCATTGAATCCTCGTTTGCAATTTGGAAGGATCATGTATTACTTTTTCAAACCGGAACTGGAACTTTGAGTTCCTATGATATTCATTCCGATCAAATCAACGAATTCGGTTACCAAGCTAATCGTGGTAGTTTGAGACTTCTAGTATACAACGAAGCCCTCACTATAATTCCAAGAGAAAGCAACGAAGCTACACAAGTTCTAAATTTTTGACTCTTAAAACTCCTTCTTTATGATGATTATACGCTTCAATTTTTTAGGTATTTTGGCCGTAATATTTGAATTTAATAATTCACCATGTAAAGATATTTTCTTTTGTAAATGAATTTCATCCATTTGATTTCTTAATTTACAGTACATTCCATATTAAATATTAATACTGAAGAAATTCTACCTTGTATTCAAGAACCAGGTTCTTGAATAATGCACGAAAAATTACTTAAACGACAACAAAATAGATATATTGTGGAAACCTTCCTAACTCAAGGAAGGGAAAAATCACACCAAAGTTTTATATTAACTAGTTTTTTTGACACGTGTGTTGCACGTGATTACCAATTTCAAAAATATATGTTATAGTAAATAGTATTGCTTATTTAAGCAAAGATATGAATAATAAGCTTAGCAAAAAATAAATATTGCAGATTTTTTTGTGAATGTTCAACGTAGATCGTCATTTATATTTCTTATTCACACAAACCTATGAAGATGGTCAATGAAATTTTTTATTAGTTAAATGTAATAATGTATATACTTATTTTAGTTTGATGAGGTTAATCATGTAATTAGTCTTATCTCACTAATATTGTCTTATAGACAATATTTGCTTTGTATTTCTCTTGTCATCTAACCAATGTGCTTTGCATGCGTATTCTACGTTAAATTGTTTAGATGTCATATGAACATGCGAAGAGAACAACTACATTTTGTATATTCACATATTTTCACATTGGTTCTGAGTTTTTTTTTTTAAAATAAAATCGGAGCATTTTAAAATAATATATTTTGAAGTTAGAAGATCTTGTTAACTTGATAATACATTTGTGACATATATAATACTTTAATTTAAATACAAATACCTACCCAAATATAAATATATATTTGCATTAATGAAAATATTTATCTCATAAATTAACTGTTAAATAATTAAAAAAATTAAACTAATACAAATTTCAGTTGGCGTTATTACAAGTCATATGAACTTTTTTCATCTAAAATACTGAAATATTAAGAAATAGTAAATAAGTAAAACAAAAGGGCATTGTTTATATAGTAATTACTGTTTTGAAGTAAACTTCATGAGAGTCTAAATCACATAAGTAGCATTGATAAATAAAGTCATTCTTTTGTCTTGAGTATCAAAAATAAATCATGATAATTCTCTAGATTTTGAAAAAGATATTCAAAAGCATATATCTACATCACAAGAGAAATTATTAACGAATATAAATGAATTTAGACTACATAATGTTACCTTTATATATTGGAACATTACATACTAATGTATATATTAACCAAAAAAATAATTATTATATCATCAAAATAATTTTCTTCAAGTACTCGGGGTTATGAAATATACCCTCTTAGGATAGAATGACTTACTTCATCAGAATAGTGGTACCTCATATCCGCTAAACTTCGAACTCACTCAACGACAATAAATCACATAAAAAATTTAAAATGCAAGAAGAAGAAGAGTAGAAGATTAAAAAAATTGTGGTTGAAAAATGAGAGGAAGACCCTCTATTTATAGTCAACAAAGGATAGTATGAACAAATGTTTTTTGTATCTTATCTGAAAAGTCATTACCTTTTTGAGAAGTTACAACCCTTTGGAAAAGTCACAACTTATTGAAAAAGTCACAATTTATTGGAAAAGTCACAACTCTTTGGAAAAGTCACAACTCATCGATAAATCACAACCCTTCGAAAAAATCACAACTTATCGAAAAAGTCACAACTCATCGAAAAAGTCACAACCTAACTTAGGGATATTATAGTAATTTAACATTTAAGTTAGGAGCTCATGCTTTTAAGGTAACTAGATTCACCGCACGTGCGTTGCACGTGGTTCCCTCGTCTTGAGATTGACATGTGTATGTAAATGCATTAGATTATATTAGTCACAATATATCGTTTTTTTAGATGACTTTTCCTACAGTTGTAACCGTAATTTATGGGTCTCCAATTATAGATTCCTAAATATTACCGCTTTACGCTTGAGTAATGTACTTCTTCATGGTGTTTTTTGGCAGTGTCTTTGTTATAAAAGTAACTTACTGAAGATAACCATAAATTCCATACAAATGGTGAAGTGGTGATACCACAGTTAAAAGTTACAGTAGTGCTGCCCTCACTATTTCATCGGGGTATTATTTATACAACACGCAACAATGAACACAATAATTTAGAGTTAATATCTTAAAAGGTCACTGAACTATGGGAAATTATCTAGCAAAATTATTAAATTTTGTTTTGTTTCAATAAAATCACTCAACTTAAGGCTTTTATTTTAGAAAATCACTCAATTACATTTATCAATAAAATAAATTTTAAATGGCAAATCAAATTATTTTTATGTCATGTAATCATGGACTCCACCCATACAAAAATTATAAAATCTACTGTATTTATTTTTATACCGAGTTTTTTTCCTCTCTCGCTCTATGCCATCAGTTTGAACGCATCGGCCGAATTTTCAACTTTGTTGTTTATTATTATTATTATTATATATGCAGTGGCTGATCCTAATTACTCAGGCAGCTAATTGATGCCAAGCATCCTGTGTATTATGGGATCTGATTTACCGTTCCTTTCTGGTCTCATAGAGTTTAGAGACTTATCCTTTCAAAATTAATAGATTTTATGATTTTGTTTATTTGTGGAGTTTATAATTATAATTATATGACATAAAAAATAATTTAATTTGTCATCTAAAATTTGTTTTAATGAAAAATGTACATTGCTGATTTTTAAAGATAAAAGTCTTAAGTTTAGTGATTTTATTGATATAAAACAGAAGTTCAATGACTCTGTTAGATAATTTCCTATAGTTCAGTGACCTTTTAAGTTATTAACTCCAATAATTCGATATATGTTTCTTTAGTAGTTGTCTTTGTTTGGCCCGATCATAACGGCTTTGGGTTCCACTTGTATTGAGTTGTATCAAACCAAATAGCTTACTAAATTTTCAACTAAAAGTGAGACCAGCTCATTATGTACATAACTCCCCAAATATTGACTGATCAAAACTGCTTTACCATCTGAACTCATAGATAAGTTTCAAGATTACAATGCTTCATTAACAAACTCACCTTCCATTAATTGTCTCTGATGAGGATTATCAGATGAATAGACGCTTCAATCATCAATTATGCACAAAGAGTCCAGTTAGAAGGGACTCTGCTCGACGACAAGTGTGGCATATTACGAACATTGACATCAAGAGGGAGCATACCACTACTAAAAAAACAGTGAATACCGACCTAAAAATTTCCGACCTCAAATGGAGTTCGGTAATTTCCGACCTCCGGAGGTCGGTATTTACAAATAGTCGGTTTTTATGCAAAATAAAGCGAAAAAACCAAATTCCGACCTCTGGAGGTCGGAATTTTTCCCGGAAAAAATGAATTACAATAAAAATACCAACCTCATGAGGTCGGTATTTTTTATATTTAATTGAGAAAATAATACGGACATCAAGAGGTCGATTTTTATTGTAATTCATTAAAAATTCCGACCTCCTGAGGTCGGAATTTTTTCTCAATTAAATATTTTATAATACCGACCTCCGAATGTCGATAAAATTAAATAGTATGTAATTAAAATACCGACCTCATGAGGTCGGTATTTTTATTTCATCTAATTACTATTAATAAAAGCGACATCCGGAGGTCGGTATTTTTATTTCATCTAATTACTTTTAAAAGCGACATCCGGAGGTCGATTTGCGGAAAGCGGGAAAACAAAATTCTGACCTCTAGAGGTCGGAATTTTTCCCGGAAAAAATGAATTACAACAAAAACCGACCTCTTGATGTCGGTATTAAACAAATAAATAAATAACAATATTTTAATTTTTCTCAATAGGTTTTGTGTAAAATAAAAAACAAAAAAAGTTATAATACCGACTTCCGTATGTTGGTAAAATTAAACAGTAAAAATAAATTAATATAAAATACCGACCTCATGAGGTTGGTATTTTTTATATTTAATTGAGAAAATAATACCGACATCAAGAGGTTGGTTTTTATTGTAATTCATTAGAAATTCTGACCTCCTGAGGTCGAAATTTTTTCTCAATTAAATATTTTATAATACCGACTTCCGAATATCGGTAAAATTAAATAGTATGTAATTAAAATACCGACCTCATGAGGTCGGTATTTTTATTTCATCTAATTACTATTAATTAAAGCGACATCCGGAGGTCGGTATTTTTATTTCATCTAATTACTTTTAAAAGCGACATCCGGAGGTCGGTATTTTTATTTCATCTAATTACTTTTAAAAGCGACATCCGGAGGTCGATTTGCGGTTTGCGGGTAAACCAAATTCCGACCTCAAGAGGTCGGAATTTTTCCTAGAAAATGAATTACAATAAAAACCGACCTTCTTGATGTCGGTATTATTTTCTATTTTGATTTAATTTTATTTAAATCGTCTTTCGGAGGACGATTTTGTGTTATGTAATAAATTAATATTTTCAATTAACTTTAAATAAATTGTCATCCGAATGACGGTTTTATACAAGTTAAAAAATAATTTAATAGAAAATACCAACCTCCCGATGTCAATATTATTTAATTAACATAATTACTTTTATTTATCTTAAAATTTAATGTGATATCGACCTCATGACATTGGTATTTTTTATTAAATCTAATTACTTTCAATAAAAGCGGCATCCAGAGGTCGGTTTGTTTAGAATATTCCTATTAATACTCATAATTTTGCTATTGTGCATAATACTAAAATTTCATTTTACACCTACAATTAATTGTTCAAAAAGTGTAACAATTTTGTATACTTTTATAAATAAAAAGTTAGAATTCGTGGAATAAATAAAAAAATATCTATAATCCATATTTAGAGTATGAAACTACGTTGATATGAATTAGGAGATAATTATACTTATATTTCTAGAGTAATGTACAAATTCTATCAGTCCATCGTCTAATCATGAACTTAATATCTCATTTCATGATGTAGAGGT